GGGGGGGGAATGGAGCTAGGGAATTGGATTTGGGGACTATCTCAAACCATGACAAAAGCCATTCCCTCTTGACCTTTTTCACATGCCCTTGTGAAAAGTCTTTCTCCAGCCTTCTTGTAAGACCCCTTTAGGTACTGAAAGGTCCTATAAGGTCTCCCTGGAGCCTTCTTTTCCCCAGGCTGACCCGACTCTCTCAGCCTGTCTTCATACAAGATGTGTTCCAGCCCTCTGGATGTGTTCCAGACCTTTGTGGCCCTTCTCTGGATTCATTTCAACAGGTCAACCTCTTTCTTCTATTGGGGCCCCCAGAGCTGGACACAGCACTGCAGGTGGTGTCTCACAAGAGCAGAGTAGAGGGGCGGAATCACCTTCCTTGACTTGCTGACCAAGGTGCTTTTGATACAGCCCAGGATATCGATGGCTCTCTGGGCTGCAAGCACATATTGCTGGCTCACATTGAGCTTTTCATCCATAAACACCCCCAGTCCTTCTTCCCAGGGTTATTCTTGACCTGTTCTCTGCCCAGCCTCTACTTGTGCTTGGGATTACCCTGACATGACTAAGTGTGCAGTTTTACAAGGTTTGATGTTATATAGAATACTTTTACTTTTGGAGATTGTGATCATGTTTTCTGTCATCTCAATCATTCACCCACCCTAGAGCTAATATCTCTATTATATCCATAAAGATGCTGATGATATATGACAAATGTTGTCCTGCAGAGATGTGGCCTGGAGTTTTGAGAGGGACAGCTGTGTCCCAGTGCTGTTCAAAATGGACAAGAAAAGCATCTAGTACAAAGTCCATTGCAACTATAACAGCAACAGTCTGGTTTATTGTATCATGGGATGGAATGGAAAATGTATTTTTAAGTTAAATAGAGATATGTTACTGTTTACTGTAAATTACTTCCCCTAATAAGGTTGTCTGAGTTTGCTTTTCTGATAAGAATCAAAATTCAATGTGTCAACTCAAAGTCTGATTTTCTGCTGTTTTCGGTTTTTTCTTTTCCTTTATACAACCCCCATTACAGAAATTGGATCCCAGTCTTCATTACAGCTATTAAAATATGTCATACATTTCTGAAAGCGGTTTTTTTTACTTTAATTGCCTCAAAAATGAGTCTAGAGAAGTGACTGAGGTGCAGAACTTGATAAGGTAGATATGCAAGGTAACCAAGGTGAGACAAATCCCACTCTGAACATTTTGGAGGGGGGAAGCACATAACAAGATGCAAAGAAAATATTCACAGAGGTGTGGCTGGGATGTAGAACTGTTTCTGTCATGGTGGATCTAAACACCAAGTCTCCTTCTTTCTTCTGTTTTCTAGAATGATTACAAGAAACTGTCTATGCAATGCAAAGATTTTGTAGTCGGACTCCTTGATTTGTGCAGAAATACAGAAGAAGTGGAAGCTATTTTGAATGGTGATGTAGAGATGAACCTCAGCAATGGAGAACACGGCCGCCCCAGCCTTAGCCGCTTAAAACTTGCCATTAAGTATGAAGTTAAAAAAGTAAGCAACTTTGTTGATCAAACTGACATGTCATGATAGTGGTATTAAATTGTGCTAACATTATTAAATGTTTATGTTTTGGTAGCCTGTGACAAATGAACATTAGGGCTCTTTTGCACAATGTATTTTGCAAACAAAAGAGTCCTTGCCCCAAATAGCTCACAATATAAACAAGAAGCAGATATTGAGGGTGGATACTGGTCACAGTGAGTATGAGAGCAAATGACTGTAGTACAATTTGTAGCTATGTGCAAAATAATAAAAAATGCTTCAGGTAGTGTCAATTACAACAGTTATCATCCCTTCTTTGTCTTGCTTTCATTTCTACTGTCAGTTTAATACTATGGTCTCCATCTGAAATGCTGTCAGTGAAACTAGCTGAGTTAGTAGCTGCACAGAGACCCTTGAATTACCCAGGAAACTCGTCTTGGATAATAGAGGCTGTAAAATTCTAGGTGGCGTGTGTGAACCAGGGAGAAATTATTTGTGTGATGAATCTTATACAACCAAAGATCAAGAAGATACAGATCAGGAGAATACTTGAAATGCATGTTACCCTAAAGTAGAGCCTTTTTTACAAAAATTGAGCTCACATTTCCTACATGAGAGGAGTATTTATGTGTTCATGAAAGGAAGAAAAGAAGAAAGCTAATTTGGCTGGGCACTCACTCAGAAAACACTGCAAAACACTTGGCAAGTTATGGTCACTAAAGAGAGATGAAGCAACTAGTGAAGAGAACATGTCACAATGAGGTTGTCCTTCATAGTATTTGAGTCTTAATCCTTCCCTGAATGTGAACTTTCTTGTAATACTTTCTCTTATCTCAATAAAAATATTTCTTGCACCTGCAGCCAGTAATCCTTTAAGTATAGAGAAGATTATAGAAAAAAACAAGCCTAGATTAATTTAAATTTTTAATTCTATTAACAGGTCTGGATATAAACATACACAGTGCACAAGGATCTACTATTTATTAATACCTACCTTTGTAAGGTTCTTCTTATACTAACCAGAGGACACAAAGGGGGTTATAGGGTAGACTTCTCAGTTTTGCAGAGTTTGTCCAAGTTATAAATAGTCCTTATCTGATTTCCTGCAAATATGACAGCTGTTTTCTTATGCCAGCATGTTAGCACATAAAAATATGTCAAAATCTTTCTTTCACAACTGAAGATTATATAGCATTTTTTTGCAGAACTTAAAAGATTTAAAGCAGTAAATTTAAAATTATAAATATAAGAAAGTTACAAAGTTTGATCAGAAAAATTTTATGTTTAATTAACCTTAGATAAAATTAATAGTTTCTGATTGAATAATAAATAATAAATGTGTCAATAAATAGTAGTTTTTAAAATTAATGTATGTCTGTTTACTGGGAAATTTGACCTGTCAAATAGTTTTTCTTATGACCTTGTTAATTCTCCTTTGAACAACTCTCCTGAGTTGTTGCTATTCCAGAATTCTTAATGTGCTTCATATAGCTGTATTTTAATAAAGGTTATTCTGATAGCAATATTATTTTTGTGCTCTTTTTCTTTATTATAGTTTGTAGCACATCCAAACTGCCAGCAACAACTTCTCTCAATTTGGTATGAAAATTTATCAGGTTTACGGCAGCAGACCATGGCAGTGAAGTTTCTGGTTGTTCTTGCTGTTGCAATAGGACTGCCCTTCCTTTCAATGGCTTACTGGATTGCTCCTTGCAGTAAGGTCAGTCTGTGAAATCTTGTAATGGCTTTTTATTAACTCCTGTATCATCTATACGCAGATTGCTGTCTGACAAAGACATGCTTAAACAATAAAAGTTATTTTAAAGCCAAGTTAGAATGGAATGGCTGCAAGACTGCATGTTCAGACAACTGTAATTAAGACAGGTATATGTGTTGTGTTAAATGTAATATATATTAAATTAATTTAAAATAGCTGAGCAAGAGTTGCTTTGTAGAAATCCTGCTTTAGAAACAATGAGTCAAATTGTTATCATTTAGTTCTTCCTTCTATAGGCAAATACCAAGGATACTCTTATTCCATTGTTTCAGATTTAGACTAAGTTCAAGCAGGGGGTTGATTCCAATTAACTCGAAGGTAATTTTATTTTTCATGATTAAAAATAAATAGATAAAAGTCACTGAAATATGAATGCCAGAAAATAACACAATCATCACTTTTCTAGAAGTCAAAATTAACTGTGTTGTCTTGACAAGGCAGTGCTAATATTCATCATATTTCATGAGGGCTCCAAAGTAGTCACACAGTCTCCCCTGCACTGATTTACAATGCACTGTCTGGATTGGGTGACAATCTCTGACCTCAGTGAACTTTGTGTTGAATCTCTGTTTGAGTTGGTCACTGTCCATTTTGAGTGGACACTGATGGAAAATTTCCCTTCAAAGTATGTTAGAGGGAAAAATTGGCATCCTATGAGGATCACTCACCATGTTGCAGTATAATATCCCCAACTCTAACAGGTCAAGTCCTTTGCACATACCATGATTTCAGGGGAAAAGGAAGGTTGAAAGAGAGAATTGAAGTCTTTGTGAGGGTTTTTTTTTGTTGTTCTCTGGAGGAGAAAAGTGAGCCTTTTTTGTTTTGCCATATTTTTTCATTTCTTTCAGTCTGGACAATAAAAATCAGTTATATTATTTTCACTTTTCTGTATAGTGAGCAGGTTTTTATGAGTACTTATTTCTTAAGACACTCCTTGAGATTCAACACACTTCATTAATTGATTTTCTACTATAGCAGTGACTTACCTATTTGTCATTTTCTATTTTCAATGATTTATTGGATCTTAAACTAAATTTGAACCATTGTACATTCTGAAAAATATATTTCAGAGTAACTTTTAAAGTCAAGGTACAAGTAACCACATTCATTAAGGTTTCAGTTCTGTCACTATTTAATCAACTCGTCATGTCATTTGAATGCTTTTTGTTTCATCGTATTCTGCAAATATAAAATCCAATCTACCTTTTTCACCAATTACTATTTAATACTTTATGCTTCACTTATATTTCAGAAGTTTAATCTGGTTTTTGAAGACAAAAATTTTCAGTGTATAGTCTCAAGATAGGATGGCTCCAATATAGAACATCTTCTTTATCAAGAGTCCATTCTGTGTATGAATTGATGGAATTTTACATCTTCTCTTTCTACTGAGATAAAGTACACATTCTTTTTCCAGGTTTGGCAGTATAAGGCACAGTGACAGAAGAGAGAGAAAATGTTCACAGTATTTCTGGTGAAAATAAAAACTTACAGTAGAGTTCTGACACATTTCTTTATATTCTCATGTCACGGCTCTGAGAAAGGCAAAAATGTGTTTATGACTTTTACAACACCTCAGTCAGTTACCTGTAATGCTGACCAGCTTCCTCTTTGGGAAAAAGTTAATTTGAGTTTGGACCACAGACTGAAGGTTTGAATTGAAAGTTTCAGATGTAAAAAAAATTTAATGGAAATATGTGGTCAGTCCTGTTGATTTGGAAGGAATTCACTACTGTCAGATGCCAAAAGGTGTTAAGATTGCCTCTTATTTGAATTTCAGCCACTGATCCTCGCAGAGACATTTCAAAATTTTGTAAACTCTTTGCTTTGCATTTCTAATTGTTAATTCAGTGTAACTACTGACATCATTAACACAAATTTCTAGAATAATATTTTATTACATGACATGAAAGATTAAAACCTTTTCTCAGTTATCTGCAAGAATCTCTAATGTCTCTGCTGTTCAGCTGTAGTAATAGAATTTAGATTTTTAGCTTTATGAACTCATAAGTAATTTGGTCAACCTCTGGCCAAGATGAAGGATCTACATTTGAAACTGAGTCGTCTTTTGCTGTTCCCAGTCACCTGAGGTTGGCATTTCTAAAGAAGTAACTTGAAAAATTCCTAAATGCTTCCTAGAAGCTTGTTCTGAGAGTTATACACATTCCTCTCTTCCATTGTGGTAGAGGAAAAAAAATTGAACATTGTGTCCGGTACATGAGGAACTAGAAAACTGTTATTACTAAAAAAGTATATGCATAATCTAGTTTGTTTTTTTTTAATCAGACCTTTTCTCTTTTGCAATAGCTGTGCTACCTGAAGTCCCATTTTATAATTTCTTTATCAATGCCATACTCCATAATATTACAATACTAATTGTTTCTGCAGAGTTACAGGTGGGGAATAATGTAAATCACTTACTACAGACCCCAGCAATTACAGGTGACCCTCTATATGGACAAATAAGTGTCAATGTCCACCATGTAACTATTGTATATCTTGTCCTAACCCAAAACAACATATAAAACACTCTCCAAAACTCCATAGCAAACCAAAAAACATAGTATAGAGTATCAGAATCCAGAAAAGAACCCAAAACAAAACCCCAGATCACTTAAAACACAGAGAGATTCTGAGTACTTAGAAAATCATGCCCTTGGAAGTGCAGGGGAAGGGAATTTATCACATCAAAATGCACAGTGAAAGTGTATGAGGGGAATTCCAGTTTATGGAAAAGTCCGGAGTTGCAAGATTATGGTCTTGGCTTTAGATGCTGCTTTTTTTCCTTCCAGTTCATATTTTCTGACCTATATCTTCTCCATAAAGAAATTCAGAAATTTAGAAGTGTAATTTCAAAATTTCCTCGGATCATTGTTATATAGCAGTGTCATAATAACTTCCAGCAGTTTTGTAATCACTTCAACCAAAATTCTGCTTCTAGAGAGATTTTGCTATATATATGAAAAAAATACTTTTCTGTTTCTTTAGAAGGGACAGGAGGTGGGGTGATAGGAATTCACTCTCTTAAATTTTATGTTTTTTGATCAAGGGATATATTAACATTAACCTACTTCAGTATTTTTTCTTCTTTTCTGGTTATGTCTCTCTCTGGCAACTGTCTCCTAACTCATCTTTGTTTGTGAATACAAGAATAATACATTTAAAAGGACACTGTCAAGGCACTTAATAATTTTTCAGCTCTGCTTTATTGTATGTTGTTTATGACTGTATCTTCCTAGTTTGAAATAAAATTTTTCCCCATGACAATTACCTGTTCTCTTTGTAGTTCATGCAAAATAATTGGTTGTTGAAGTTCATCCCATGAGGCTGACAGACTGTTTAATTTAATAAAAAAGAAATTAATTTAATTGAGTGAGAAACATAATAAATGGCATGGGTTTGAAAAGTAATATAACAAATCTTATGCCTGCTAACCTTGACAGTGTTCCTTTAACAGTATCTTATATTTACATTTGTCTAGTCTTCCTAATGTGATTTGTATTTGAGACCTTACCATTGCATCCTTGGCTCCATCCTCCTATTCACGTTTCTGTAAAAGCTGACTGCAAAATTCTGATTTTCTGCAGTAAAAATATGAGTACCAATAACATACCTCTCTGTTTCCACCCACTTTTTCCAGACCACAGACTGTGGTCTGGAATATGTTTTAGTTGAGATCTGTAACACTTACTTTCAATCATTTCCAAGCAATTTTTTTAGATATGAGTACAGTCTTAGTCTAAAATGAAAAAGTATTTTTCTGCAGCTTCCAACTAAGTGGACAAGCTAAGACTTTTAACATTAATACAGCCACTCTCTAAAATAAAGTTAATAATTCCTAGAAGTTCAACCTTGTGTGAATTTGTATGGAACCTTTAGGTTTTTGAAGTGTTGCACTAAACCATTTTAAAGTTGTTCTTAGTCATGACAAAGTTGAAAACTTTTCCATTGCAGTAGTCAGGAGGAAATTAAGACTCTACAGGACTATAAACATAACCCTTTGAGGCCTCATGACTTTTTTAAAAAAAAGAAAATAAATTGAGAAAACTGCACAATAACTGTGCTAAACTGAGTATCACATCAGTCAGGAAATTAAATTCTTTAGTCATAATTCGTTCATGGTGATAATTCTTTTAGTGAGTGTCAAAATCTTGGTTTCTTTCTTGCCTCATGAAGATGACTAGCATGTAAGAAATCCACCAACTGTAATAGATTTTACCTTTGATTATCTGTAATAGACATAGATACCGCAAACTAATTACAGAATTATTTCAAATCGCCGAGTTAAAAATACAGATCTTTTTAATTTCAGTATTCTATCAGTGAAACTGATAGATTATTCCTGAAAATAGCACATCAGTAGAAACTTCTAAAAGCAACTGTCAACACGGCATCATAGTACCCAAATTTTTCTAAATATTTGTTCCTTTGCATTATTGAAATATATGACTTTCTGTGTTACTGCTCTTTTTATATATTTTTTTATTTTGGAAGAAGTCAATGCAATATCCTTGTGTTTCATAATCTCTGTTGCAGCTGGGGAGGATAATGCGTGGACCATTTATGAAGTTTGTAGCCCATGCAGCCTCTTTCACCATTTTTCTTGGTCTGCTTGTCATGAATGCAGCTGACAGGTTTGATGGCACCAAACTCCGACCTAATGAAACAACAGACAATGTAAAACAGCTGTTTAGGATGAAAACATCATGTTTTACATGGATGGAGATGCTCATTATTTCTTGGGTAATAGGTAAAAAAATTTGCTTAAATTTGTCTTGCTATGATTTCAAGTGAAGCTGAACTAAATGAAACCTTTGCTATCAATGTTTTGTGTAAAAATTGCGATGGAGTTTATTCAGTTGTCTGCATTCCCACATGGGTCTCATGTTTTATGCTGAATGTCATCAGGATTCACATGTTCCCAGCTGATCACATTCAGATTAAGGATTTAGGTGAAATCTACATCATCCTGAAATATACATCTACATGAATTCAGTTTTACAAATAACAAAGCAAAGTGTCTACCAGTTTTCTGGGGGTTTTGAGTCACACTGCATCAACTACAAAGGGGAAAAGATTTCCACATGATGGGCCAAATTTTTTTGTGCCCAATTGTCTCTTTCTGCTAAGATTCTCTTTTTTTGCAAGTACGTCTGCAGAACTAACAGTATTTAGCTGAATGTATTATTGACAAAAGAGAAGAATATAGACCCCTGAACATTTGGCAGTAGATTTTCTCATCCCAACATAGGGATGACATGAGTGCTATGAGTAGTACTCTGAGCTGGTCCACTGAATTCAGTGATGTAGTACTATTCAGCATCAGAACCTGAGTGCAGGCCCTCCAAAATATTTTGGCTGTCAGATTCTCATTTACAAGTCTAATACCTTTTAATCCACTGAGGGTTACATGCCCAAATATTTTAAGGATCTGGACTCTGGTTGTTACTTAAGACAGCAATGTGTGAGATTTAAATTCAAGCTAAGTAAAGTATCTTTCCTTACAAGAGTTTACACATTTAAAATATTTTCTTTTATGATCTCTCTTTGATTGATATTTGTACACCAATTGATTCTTATAGCTTTAAAGACATTGGCAACCTTTATTTATTTAATAGCAAAGCTATTTATAAATTAATATAGTTGTGTATTATAGGGATAATATAGCACTCAGATTTCTGAAGTCTATAAATATCTTCATCTGATAAAAATGAAGGAAATAATAGTTTCTTAATTTGAAGTTCTAGTTTGATAATTTAATCTATTTTCATTTTTATTTATTTCAGTGTCATGCATAAGATGGTTTATGAAAAATTGATTCAGTGCATACAGACGTAACATTGAATGTAGCTATTGCAATTGACATTATTATTGTCCTTATCTGAAAATTATGAAAAGTTCCTTCAGACAATTTGATAAGTGAAAAAAGTATTCCATTCAGCTTTTTATTAAAGACTCTTTTTAAAATCCTAGAAATGTAGTTTATATTTTTTTCTCTTGAAATGAAAAAAGATTTTCTCTGAAAATAAGAAAATCTGAGTTTCTCTATTAACTCTACCACAGATCATGCGAGAGCATTTCTGCTCTTTCCATCTCTTTCTGTGTCTGTAACAGATGGTAATACTCACATCCCATTCCTCTCTTTGAAAGCTTTTATAGTTGTACAGGAAAAAGAATTCTAAAAGATTGCTATTATTACTCTCATGAGAAGAAGTCTTGGAATGTATATGAATTTTCAGATTCAAGGATTTTATTTTGTGTTTGAATTCCCACTGATCAAAATTGTTTTGAGTTTGACCGCAACCAAGAGCATGTTCTATATATAATAAAAATATAAAATAAAACAATTGTGAAGATAAAAGAACACATTGTTTTCTCTGTTCTGTCTTAAACAGGCATGATATGGTCTGAATGTAAAGAAATTTGGTCTCAAGGTCCAAAGGAATACCTTTTTGAGTTATGGAATATGCTTGATTTTGGTATGTTAGCAATTTTTGCGGCATCATTCATAGCAAGGTTTATGGCATTTTGGCATGCATCCAGAGCCCAGAACTTCGTTGATGCACATATGAAAGATCTGACTAGTCCAACACTGGACCCCAGCATAAAATACTACACCTTGGGTGAGTTGATTGAACATGGTTAAAATTTACTTCTGGGGCCAAGACGAACTGATTTTTCAGTAAATAAGTCTCCAATACCATAGTTCCACAATGTACTACTAAAGAAATTCTCACTCCTTCTCCTTCTCATCCTTATGGTAAATTGAATATGAGTCAGCAGTGACCTGGCAGCCAGGAGAGACATCCGTGTCCTCGGATGCATAACCATAGTATCACCAGACAGCCGAGGGAAGTGATCGTCCCAGTCCACTCTGCACTGGTGTGGCCTCACCTGGAGTAGTGTGCAGTTTTGTGCACCACATTATAAAAAAGACACTAAACTATTAGAGACTGCCCAAAGGAGGGTCACAAGGATGGTGAGGGGTGTGGAGGGGAAGCCATATGAGGAGTAGCTGAAGTCACTTGGTTTGTTCAGCCTGGAGAAGAGGAGACTGAGGGGAGACCTCATTGCAGTCTACAACACCCTCATGAGGGGTTGCAGAGGAGCAGGTACCAATCTCTTCACTCTCATGACCAGTGACAGGACTCAAGGGAATGGCATGAAGTTGAGTCAGGGAAGGTTTAGGTTAGATATCAGGAAAAGGGTTTTCGCCCAGAGAGTGGTTCAGCATTGGAACAGGCTCCCCAGGGAAGTGGTCACAGCACCCAGCCTGTCTGGATTCAAGAAGTATCTGGACAATGTTCTCAGGCACATGGTGGGATTCATGGGGTGTCCTGTGCAGGGCCAGGATTCGGACTCAATGATCCTGATGGGTCCCTTCTAACTTGGCATATTCTATGATTCTATGATTCTACTATTTGATCACAGTTCCGTTGGCTATGCTCATACATCTTTTGGGGAGTGTTCTAAACAGCAGGCACTGAAATGATCTAAGATCAACATAACCTTACTATCATCTCACCCCTTTTCTAGATTATTTTAATCTATTCAATTACACAATACTGTCTGCAAACCAAACTGTATTGGTGCAACTGTGAATTGAATATACTGTAATGTGGGGACAAAACTAAGCAATGAGATGCATGAACTTCTTAAACATGCTATGTCAAAATAACCAATATGTCTTTTATATATTATTTTTTCAGAGACTCTGTTGTATTACTTTAGTATTTTTCAATCCACTCTCTTTACTAGTAACAGATGAAAAATGTTAATAAACCTGCTTGGCATATATGAGAAGTGACTAGAAGCTATTTCGCCTGAATGAGAAAAAATTAAGCTCTGTTGATTAGTGTTCCCTCTCAACATCACCACATCTTTCTTACTGTTATTAGATTTTTTTTTTCTACATACTGAATTACATCAGTTTCTATATGTGTTCTGTGCCTCAGATACTATTTCTCTTAAGGTTACATTCCTACATCATCCAGGCTGTAGAAAAGTAGAGCAATTAATATATCAATTCTGAAACACATTGAATTGTAAGACTGACAAATTTTACTGGAAAGTTACAGATTTTACGTAAGTCCTAAAAGCAGCTGGTTAAATATTAATTCAGTTTTCAGAAACACTTGAAGAATGTGCAAACAGAGACTGTTGTTTATGTTCACAGTGTCTGCGTATGACAAGCACAAGTCTTGTAACTCATTTATGCTACACAATACTGCATCATTTAGAAAGGCACCTTCCATTCATATCAGTCATGGGTTGTGACTTTGTTATGCCCTGAAGCACAGCTGATACATTTTTTAGTGGATGCATGTACACTGAAGTCTGGTTTGAGAGCACCTGTGTCTGGTAGTGCCAACATGGATAATGTTATTTAGTGCCACAGTTTTTTTCATAGGTTAGCAAACATACCTTGGTGGACACCAGGCTGAACATGAACCAACAGTGGGCCCCTGTGGCAAAGAAGGCCAATGGTATTCTGGGCTGCATTAGGTGGAGCATGGACAGCAGGTGGAGGGAGATGATCCTGCCCCTCTACTCAGCACTGGTGAGTCCACAACTGGAATGCTGTGTCCAGTTCTGGGCTCCCCAGTACAAGAGAGATGTGAACATGTTGGAGATAAGGGCCTTTACAGTAAAGTAGACACAGATAACAACATTCTCCTGGGACATAGGTACCACATCCCAGGTTAACCTCTTCTCTTTGTCTGAAGCACAATAGTGAATGAATTTAAGCCTGCCACATCATGAGAGAATGCCTTGACTTAGAGCAAGGAAGTATTCTGAAGGGTATTGCTTCAGACTTCTTCTGACACTTTTCTGTCAATATTTATTTAAGTAAAAGCTTGAACTTAAATGTTCCTCTCTGCAGTTGAATGTGTCACGTTCCCCATTAAAAGACATTCAAGTAATTCACGAGTACATTAGCTTCAGCAGAAGATACTGATAGAAATGATGATAGAAAAGGTGATGGAAATGGGTGTTTGGTGTTTGCTGGGAAATGACCACTACAATTTCATTATAAGTAAGACGATAAAGTAGAAAAGATATAGAAATATTATTGTTCATGTAGTTTTGGAATTGTGAAGGCCATTTAATTAATTCAGATCCCCACAACAAAACAGTTCATTTTGTCACAGCTCAGTTGTCATCACCTGCCACTGTAAGCTGAATTTTACTTAAATTCTATTATAGACGAGGATTCAACTCCCAAAAAGTTACCTCAGTGATCTTACGGTCCACCTTTATAATCCCTGGTGATCTAATCAATACAGTCAGTGGAACTGTGGAAACGTTTTAGAGTTAGTTACATGACTCACTTCAGTCAGCTAAACCTAAGTGATTAGTGTTGTTTGAGTTGCCATGGGTTTCTTCCCTCACCTTGAAATCACAGAATATCCTGAGTTGGAAGGGACTCACAAGGATCATCAAGTCCAAATCTTAGCCCCGCAGAGGACATCCACAGGAGTCACACCATGTGTCTGAGGTGTTGTTCCAATTGCTGTTCTGACTGCTGTTCCAAAAAGACCCCCCCATAGATGCATACAGTTATCTTGAAATAATGACAATTCTCATCTTTTGTTCCTAGCCAGAATAAACTGGGATCCGTCCGATCCTCAGATCATATCTGAAGGGCTGTATGCAATTGCGGTTGTGTTGAGTTTCTCAAGAATAGCCTACATCTTACCAGCTAATGAAAGCTTTGGACCACTGCAGATATCACTTGGCAGAACCGTGAAAGACATCTTCAAGTTTATGGTGATATTTATCATGGTGTTTGTAGCTTTCATGATCGGCATGTTTAATCTCTATTCCTACTATCTGGGGGCGAAACAAAATGAAGCATTCACAACGTAAGTACCACTGATTAAAATGTAGCTTTTTTTCTTAACAATAAAGCAACGAAATACAAAATGTGCTTTGCAATGCTACTACATTTTTGGACATGGGGAACTGAGATGTCCTTAACAAAGCAAGGAAAAATACGTCTTCAAACAGATGGAGATAGATAGGAAAAAATACCTCAGAGGTTTGGACTTCTATATATGTATAAACTGATTAAGAGGAAACACATGTATTTAAGTGAACTAACTTGAAAAAAAATCAGTATGCCCACACCATGGTTTTACATTGAAATTGTGTAATAGTAAAAATTCAGCTGGAGGATTACGGTCTGTGAGACTCATTTTTCTGAAAATTGATGAATTGCCCTCAGACATCCTGTCTTCTCACAGTTTCAGAATGTTTGTCATAATAATGGTGAAATAATTCGTACAAAGTGAACTAACGGTGCAATTTAAATAATTTACAGGTTAATTATTTTTTATTTACATTAATTTACATTCAGCAGGCTGTAGTATGTAGATTAGTTAACAAGTAAATCATTGTGATATTCTTTCCAGGATGGGTATATAGTTCCTAAACTGAATCAGATGGTTTTATTGTCAGTCCTAAGTTTTAGGAATCTTGTATCGTGAAACAGCCTGTATGCATGAAATTAGACAGTCTACTGTTATGCACTATGGTAGAATTCTACATTATGATAATGGAAAAATTTGTACACCATATAAAAATGGTAACTGGCAATTTATATAATAAGAGTATACAGCTTTTCTTCAGTATTATATGCATGTGTTCAATTTCTCCTTTTAGTGTTGAAGAAAGTTTCAAAACATTGTTCTGGGCTATATTTGGACTCTCAGAAGTTAAATCGGTTGTCATCAATTATAAACACAAATTTATTGAAAATATTGGTTATGTCCTTTATGGAGTCTATAATGTTACCATGGTCATCGTCTTACTGAACATGCTTATTGCAATGATCAACAGTTCATTCCAGGAAATTGAGGTAAAAACTGATTTTATGATGAAGTATCACCACATTTACTGTTACAAATAATTGTATAAACCTCTCGGAAAATATTCTTGTTGACATCTTGTTTAAGAAAAGTAACACATAGGCTTTTGGAATATATTAGGAGAAAATACTAATTCCACTGTACATTTTTGTTATAAAATACCTGGAAGTTACCTGTGCTTGCATTAGTAAGAATCAAACTGGAATAAGAAAGTACTGCTGAACTCCATTATGTTCCTGAAGAGGATGGCTACATGGTGTGACTTTGTGAATTTTTCACTTGCCTTATTTGTAATTATTAGAGAAATGTCCCTCTTGCTGCAAGGATGTTCACATTCCTATGCCTTGGCCTTGCAAGCAAGTCTCTAACATGCTGTGTTCTTCTTTCATTAAATAACTGTTGCTCTAGACCTCTGCAGTGAACAAAACTTTACTTGACAAAGTAATCAGCAGGGCTACTGAAAATCAGCGTGAATTTTGCATGCCATGGAAAACAGAGGGCTAAATCATTATCATTGTTTTGAAAAAAAGGAAGCAGATCTCCAGGAGCTAGGCCATCTCAGACCTTCCCAGATGCCCTTGCCACACAGCTGCATGCTCAGGTTTGACACCGCTCTGGTCCCCTGTTCTAGGCTCTGGTTTGGGGCCATAGCATTGTCTGGCTTGAGCAAGAGCAGCACATTCTCTAGGGAGGTTCATATTCGTCTGACTCGGGAAGCCACAGAGCAAACCTATCAGGTTTAGAGCATTAAAAAGCAGTCTCTTATCCAAAAAATATGCTGACTGGATAAAAACAGCTTCTAAAAACAGGCACAACAATAGCGAGTTATGTTCTTGGACATGATGTCAGTCCTTTCTGCAGAAAACCCTCTTAAACTTTGCAGGATGGAATAAAGTGATTGTTTTGATGGTCCTAAATGTTAAACATAAACCATGGTGATGGTAGCATATCTGGTTTAATCATATATCCCAGCAAGTGGAAGGAATTATCTAAGAATCATCTAATCTTTTTTAACTTCATGTTTAAAGTAATAGAGTAATAGTCTATAGACTATTAGCAGGGTCTGTCGTTGTAATCATATATTGCAGACTATTAGCACTGACTCTGGAATAAGCGATGTTTAAATTAAATCCATTCTGTTCTTCTGCAATTGCATTATTTTAAATAGATTAATAAGAACAATTCCATTCACTGAAATTTGGTTTTCATGAATCATAAGCAAGTTCTTGATGTGTTTGAGATTAACTTCGGCCATTACATTCAAAACACACATAAAGTTTAGCTAGAGCATCTTTAATAGTCAAAGTGGTATTAACAGTGTATTAACAGCTGTGTTTCCATTTTACAGGATGATGCCGATGTAGAATGGAAATTTGCAAGGGCTAAACTTTGGTTTTCTTACTTTGAAGAAGGGAGAACTCTTCCAGTACCCTTCAACTTAGTGCCAAGCCCAAAATCTTTGCTGTACCTCCTAATCAGAATCAAAAAATGTATTTCTAAACCATTTCTGTGCCAAAAGAAAAATTTTCAGGAAGATGCGGAGATGAACAAGGTAATTTTGTCATGTATATATTAACTTCTAATTTTAAAACATAAAAATAATTTTAACTTAGTTTTTGTTGTTACCCTGTTTTATTCATGAATTTCCCAATATACTTCATCCATACTAGAGTCAGTCACTAACGTGGGTACAAGAATATTCTAGAATACAGAGTTAAAACCCTTGCTAAAATCAGGTCAGAAGACATCTCCAACTCTCCCTTTATCTGCAAGTCATTTTATCTCAGAATGCTGTCTAGATGGTCAGACAGATTTTATTTTTCATAAATTCACACCTACTTTTTCCAGTCACCATCTGTCCTTTTACGTGCTCAAAGAGGATTTATTATTCATTCCAATTTTTTGCCAGTGACTGAAGGGAGGTTGAGTGCCCATGTTTGCTCAGATCATAATTTTGACCTTTTTTGAAGATGGGTTTGACATTTGTCTTTCTTCAGCCTTTTGGGACCTCTCCCAATATCCATGTTTTTTCAGAGATGATTCCGTATTTGCAAGGGGTTCATCTGCTCTCTCAGCACCTGTGGATGCAGCCTTTTGGGTCCAAGGGACTTGCCTGGGTCAAGTTCTCTCAAGTAAACCCTGTCCCTTTGAATCCCTTCACTGAGTACAGAGACCTGAGAGACTGTTGCTGAACCCTGAGGCAAAGAAGGCATCAATTCCCTCAATCTTACCATCATCCACTGTCACTTAAATCCGCTTTCCCACTAAACAACAGGCCCACATTTCCTTGTTCTCCTTGTTATTGTAGCAGTAGAAGTTCTTCTTATTGCCCTTCCAAATGTCAGTTTAAGACAAGCTTTGTCTTTCCTAACACCACACTCACATGCCTGGACAGTTTCTGAATTCCCCTTGATAGCCTGTCTCTGCTTCTACTGAAAATGCAGCCTACTTTTATCATAAAGCATTTTTTTATCTGTTTTATTTACACAAGTGCAGTAAAAAGAGCTTGAGTTGATTCACTGGGTTTGCTTAAGGAGGTTGTAGTCAGTGTATTTTTCCTGCGCTGTCTTGGCATAAACCAAAGTAATTGCTTTAGGAGAATATGGAATGTTAGGTGATATTGGAAATTTAAAGACTAGCACTATTCTAGCACTATTGTAACATGTTAGGGAAAAAGAGCTGTGCAAGACAGCTGATCAGATGTAACAAGTGGAAGGTGAGCATACAAAGAAAAAGAAGGTTAAAATTTGTCATGGTAGCAGAAACAAAATTGTCTTCTATGGAAATTTAAATGTGGAAGAATCTTTGTTAAAATGTGTGGTAGTCTGAGCAGAGGCCTGTTCAAGGTTATGAGTTCTTGAGTCTGTAGTCAAGAGTCATTAACCATTAGACTAGAGAACAGTAAAGAATTTATGTGTGTCTGTCAGTTCTCTGTCACCAGTGTGACAAGCATGTTTTCCAACACAGAGTTGAAGACTGGTTTCAATCCTAGATGGAAAAAATGGAGTTTTAGGAAAAATACTGCGCCTCTGACAAGCCTCTGCCTCTGGTTAAGCTTATAATAGTTTATGAAAACAAATGCAGGTATTAAAAACACCGTTACCAAAGTCAAGATTGTTGTTAACTTCAAATGTCTCATGTGTACTATTGGTAATTTTTCTAGTATTTCACAGATCTCACTTCATTTTACTTGGGAAATTTAATCCTAATGTATTTAAGACCTGACAGAGGTGATACTTCATTTGCTCAGGTTTCTAATGACTGACATTTACCAAACTTGATTTTAAAACCTCTGTGGGTGATAAAGTCATCACCGAAAAATCATGCAAATAAGGAGATGCATATAAACTTAAAATTGAGTGATGGTGAGAAACAACAAATGGTTCTTTTCTAATTCACTTTTGACTTTGAAAATCACATAAGTAAGTTAAATGCTTGTTTTAGGGACTTTTCAGCATGAAATTTATGTTCTTTAAAACAAGTACTATTAAAAATCTCACTTATACACCCTAAGGAAAGAAGCTGTATTTTTATCACTCCTTTCAAATCTAGCAATTCAGATTGCTAGAAGGGTGCAAAGTGTAATAATTACCAGTTCTAGATAAAACAGTAACAGGTGTATTGGCTTTTACGGCAGTCCCTCTGAAATAGAGCTGTAAGGATGTAAACATCGTTTATCAGATTTTTTCCTGGCCTTGAATTAAATTTTAGTCTTCAAATATTAATGCTTTACACTCACTGCAGATTTTAGTGTAACTAATCCTAAATGAAATGTGCTTACTCCCCAGCCAAAGCAGCTATAAAACTGCAAATCAAATTAAAAAAAAAAAAGCTTTCATGTTGAAAAACATAAAGCATCTGAGTTACATTTATTCATTCACCAGCTTTTGCAGTAGGGTGACTGCTATTGCCAGATGATTACATTTTTACTTACTTTTTGGACCACTGCATACTGTGGAGATGACTTTATCTGAATCTGAGATACTGCCATCCTGTGCACTTCTAAAAAGTAACTAAAATGCTTTTGTGTTACTTTTTGACCCACTATTGATAATTCATTGTTGTTGAGGCCAGTTTATGGCATCTTTTCAAAGGCATTCTCAGGTTTTTGGATTTTGACTTGGGACTCATTCAGTGCTGAGTGTTGGTGCTGCTGCGACTGCTGAGCAAGGAGCTACTACAAATGCAATGAGCTGTGCAAAGATAAGAAAAGATTTGACAAGACCAGACCCAAGACCCTAGACTTAATGGCTGTGTTTGTGCTAGTGAAATGTGAAGCGTAGCTTATCTAGGCATTGAGGCCAATTCGGGAATGGCTTGCCCCTATTTAAGTAGTTTTCCTTACAAAGGGTTGCTGCAAGCTCTTGTCTTCAGACCATTCCTGTTGCCAAACCATGCCTAGGAAGGTAGAAAGTTGTTCTGAGGCAAGTCCTACCTGGGAGGAGAGTAAAAGTTTATTGATAGAAGACATTGCATTGCAGGACCCAATAATGTTAACACACACTCCAGTTTACTGATTCAGATCCAACCTGTGGGTCTTTCTGCTGCACAGCCAGCATCTTCTCAGTGCAAAAGTGTCAGCAGCTTCAGGGTGAACATGAAGATAAAAATTAGAATTGGAAGGGGGGAAATTCTGCTCCTAGAGCCAGCTCTGCCCTGATTATTGTTGGTAGAAAACAAAGCCAGATGCTGTCAGTGCTAAACAGCAAGCAATTTACATAGCTGTGTTCAAGTGTACCACACTAGAAGTTAATTTCTTGAGACATATCTGCATATAATACTAAAAGCTGTGAAGATGTTTTCTTTCAGGCTGTTGATTAAAACTTGTAGATGTCTTGTTTCTGGCTAGAATTGGAGTTTTAAACATAAAGTGAACAAGAAACTCAAACCAAAAAAGTGGAGAAATAAATGAAGAAAGAGGAGAGTTTTAAAGAAATGTATTTTGATTTTCATTCTAAATTTTAAAATTGCCTTCCAATTGAGAAAGTTTATTGTTTAAGAGTCACAGAAATTATTCATCTTCCTGAGCTAAAAAATGGTAGTTGCAGATGATGTATTTAAACCTTGTTCTTGAAACATGGCCCTTCAGAAAAAAAATAAGGGACAACTATTTATTGAAACTGCTTTAAACCTCCATTCAAATAAGAAAAATATGTCAACTTTTACTCTACTAGTGCAAAATAATGTTTCTGAAATGTTCATCGGTGGACTTTGGTTATGGGAGCACAAACTGAGTGATTTGCTCTGAACCCTCCTTTCTGGTCCAAGCATTTTTGCATTCCAAATCATCACCTGCTTCTGAAAATTGGGATTTAAGACATTAACAGAGTGGTAAACAAAACAGCTACAATAATTACGTTAGCATTCTGATTGCATTCAATTTTAAGTAATACTAGAGAATAATAAAATGAGAAGTTTAAAGACAAAGGTGTTTTCTAGAGGAAGGATGCACATGTGCTGCATAGAATCATAGAATCATAGAATCAGCCGGCTTGGAAGGGACCTCTGAGATCATAAAGTACTCTTGGAGAAGAGTTATTTTTGGGGGTTTGTATAATTGTTTTATTTAATTTACATTATTTCCCCTCTGATCACTCATGTTCAAAAAATGTTAACTTGAAAATATGAATTCTAGTTCAGTTATCAGTATGACAAGCTGAATGTACTCTAGTAGTAATTTTGGGGAAAGAAAAAAGCCATAGGTGTGAAAATTAAAGAGAATTTAAAATGTTATTTGACGTTATGATGAAATCTTGGCAATCTCTGCCACCAAGTGGTCATTCGGCAACACACAGTAGATATTCTGTCCTGTTAGTGTTGCATATAAAGAGTTTTAACGAAGTTACACACTTATGATTTCCCTGCCAATTTTAAGGTGCACTTTCTAGCTAAGTACATTATTCTGTCCAAAAAAAGTGCTGAAGGGTAAAAGTTAAGATAAATTTGTTATAATGTGCCTGATTTTACAAATTTGCGGTGTCTCAACTGATTTTGCCGCATAATACCAGTTTTGCTATTTCAAGTGAAAATCAAGTTGTAGTTAAGCATTTGATTAACTTTTGAAGTGAACCAGTGTAATATAAATTTGAAACTGGTAACCAGCATGACAGATTACTTTTAAAATATATAATAAAATACATAGTAAATACAAAAAAATATAAAAAATAAATGAATCTGTAGATTATACATGAACTGGTAAATAACAGGATCATGAATGATATCACAGCTGCAAAGTCAGAGATCCAGGAGTGCTGGGACACCAGCCACACATCTGTAGCCCAAGCTCATGGCCTAGGGCAGCTTTACCCAAGGAAACTTCCCTCTGCTACAGCAAAGAAAGCATGCTTTTCCTCTTACTCTACTATATTATTTCCAAAAATGGTGCATGAGAAGTCCAGGGGATGAAATAGCAGGAAGATTGCTTTTCTCTTTTAACCTAGTAGTAAACGTGAGGCCCAAGGCAGTATTAATAGTTCTAAAATCCTGAAAGACATAGTGATTAAACAGTTGTGTAAACTCACTAGCCATTCCTTTTTATCATAAATCAGATACCTAGTTTAAGTATCAACGTTTAGATAAACTTATGTTTTCTAATATATATTCAAAACATTTAAAGTAACTTTGTTTAAGCAAGAAAAAGAAACAATAACTTGCCTTTTTTATACATATTCTATTTAATTTCCATCCAAATGTAAGAGACAAATATTAATTATTTTATATTTATACTATTATATATCTTCTATCATTATTTTTGCTTAGTCAAATAAACATAGTCTGAATAGAGAGATAGTGTTTTTTACAAGAATGTGCATACAATTTGTGAATCTTTCCAAAGAAACAATCCACGTTCATTGTAAACTTTATATTAATTGCAAATAAATGTGTTTTACCAAAAGGTATGAACTTTTCTTCAGGAAAAAATACCAAAATACAAACCTGATCTAGTGGAAGGTGTCCCTGCCCATGGCAGAGGGGCTGGACTACATGGTCTTTGAATATCTATTCCAAAACAAACCATTTGTTGATTCTATGAAATGCTAAACAAAACCTGAAAGTATTTAAATTATTCCCAGTGTACAGCTGCATAAGCATCTAACCCTTCCTTGCTTTCCTCCATAATGAATTATATTCCAGCATATCCCACATAGTACTTCACAGGCTTCAAAATGCTCCGGTTTGCTTATCTGTAGGTGCTCTATGTGTTAAGACACAACATAGAGAATTTCACTGGAAGTACAACAAAATCCCTCAGGATCTGAGACACTGCAATGATTGTCTGGTCCTTTAAAACCATAAACATTTTATTGGACCATGTAAAATTTCAGACTTTCTCAGTCCCACTTATTCCTCATCAAGATCAATCATTATTTATATTTCACAATCTTTATATTTCTAGCACTACTTGTTGAACTGGCCCCGTTATTTATGTAAAGTAATAGTATTTGTTTTGACAGTTGCTGTTCACTCTTACTGCAGCCCGGTCATTCAGCTTGAGTCTCAGTTCACCATTTTGTGATTCTTTAGTCCTTCTCAAAGATGTAAATCAATAATGAAGCCTATAAATTGCATCCTCCATGTTTTATCAGAGATTTAAGCCCTTTCAGCATGTGTAGTAAAGAAGATGCAACTCAAAAATGTCAGCTGATAATCTTGTTGTCCCTGGCATGAACTGCATAAGCAATTACATTCAGACAGTGAGGGGAGAAACAAACTCCTTGTGTATTTTGTGCTAGTGGAGGTCGCATTAGTTACAGGCAAATGTAATGAAAAAAAAAGGAAAGGGATAATGCTGCCACCCCTCTTTCCTTGGCTTCTCACACACCTGCCCTGATCTTCCCTCATCGGTTGCCTACAAGGCTGTGCCACACCAGTACCGCCTTCCTCCTGATGTGGATTCCCCCTCCTGTGCATCAGAGGAGTAGGAGAAAGACCAGAGTGACGTGTCCACTTTATTATGGTCCCTTGGACATGTTAGGAGCAGGTGAGAGGCAGAGTAAATAGAGAAAACCTACCAGTTCTCACTTTACACAGTCTGAAAGTGTTTTTTTCACTCTTGTAATGAAATTCTGTACATGTATGAGGACTTTACCACAATAAATTAACATTTCCCAGTTGAACTTAACAGTTAGTGTTCTGTCACATGATGTATGTATGCACGATATATCTGTATTTTTCTTTTATTTATTTTGAATTATAAATAATCTTTCCATTTCAGCTTGGTCAAAGGAAGCAGTCAAGTATAAGAAGCTCAGATGAAATTCACTTAAACAGTTTAAACAATCCTCCAAGACAATACCAGGTAAAAACCAGTTTATTTTTGAACAAAATCAAGAAGTAGTAGAACTGGCAGAGTGATGTCTTGAGGATAGTTTTGAATTTATGCTAAACAACATGAGTCAGGAATAAATTCACAGGCCTTGTATATATCTGAAATAAATGTAATGACTTAGGTATTTGCAGTACAATCTGGGTGTGTTTTTCTCTACTCTTTGTTTCTTAAATGTTACCCTTATAGTGTACTATTTTAAAGCACTTGAGAAATGTTTTTAATTTTAGAGACAGAATGAGTCTTCAACTGTACAATGGGAATTGAGAAAACCAAAAAAACCCTCAAAAACTTCCCATTCCATCTGCTGAAGCAGCTCAGATTATTGTTCCACACCTCTGTATATGAATACTACAAGCACTGCAAATATCTGTCAGCCTTTATGCTGTCAATATAGTCTGTTTTTTCTTTGCCTCCTAAACAACTGCAGTGAGTCTTTGCACAGTTAAGTATAAAGAGACCCAGCACAGTCCACCAAAGGGCCAGCTATTCTGATCCAGAGACTGCTACTTTCCTTCCTGAAATACTATACAGCAGGTGGAAAGGAAGAAGCAAGAGCTGCCTGGTAAATAGAACACGACAATTTGAATGAAAAGGGTATAGAAAACAAGTATACTTTATTGACGATAAGACAGAAATAAAACTCTTCCCCCTGGGCAGGCTAGGTCTGCTCAGTTCTTATGTTATACAGTGTCTGCACAAGTCTGTTCCAAAAACTGCCTCACTTTTTCACAGCCAATGTCATTAGGATGCAATGATAGATATTAAGATTAAAATTTTACCCCATAAACATGAGGATGTGTGGCTTTGTATTTGAAATGTTCTTGGATTACTAGAATAAACAGTACAGCTGCTGACCCTGCAAGTGACGGTCTGGAACCACTAATCTGGGATGACTCACCACACAACCAGCTCTGGCTGGTTTTTTTACTGTGCAGACAAAAGCAGATACATAAATCTGTGTACATTTTATATCTTATGGTGAAAAACAAAAAGTATTTTGTTGTGATGGACTACACCATATGAAAATATTAAACCCAAAGACAGAAATACAGCTCCTAAAAGGCGTTTGGATACCTCGTTCTTTTTCGAGTCATTTGAACTAATGGGAGAATCAGGGGCAGAATTCTTCTTTCCTGGAAGGGTAAAATTTACAATAAATTTGCTGGCCTAGCTTCCCCTTATTATTAGGGGAGAAGTTAGTCATTCTCATGGTGTGATCTATTCGATCAGTTTTAGTTGTCTGAGATAAACTGTGCTCTCAGGTTTGCTGTCTTTATCCATAGAAGGAATTAAAGGTGATAGATACGTGTATTTGCATGAGAAAGTACTTGGTTAGATGAGTCCCAGCTGAGACACTTAAATGACTCTTAGAATTGTGGGTCCCATTTTTCTCTAAGCCCAACATTGGGAAAACATAACTTATTAAATATAATATCAAAATAGTTTAAAATAAACCGATGACAAAAGGGCTTAGCAATTAGCACTGCTAAACAGGGTCATTGTCACCTTGTGGTAGCAGTAAAGGTCAGATAGTGTCACCTATGTGGAGATCAAAGCTACAACTCTATTGATCATTCTTATAGACTCCAGTTAAGTAAGTTAAGCTTCGTGAATTCTGACATTTGTAAAATGTGTTTAGTTTTCTATTTTTCAACTACATATATGTGCAGAATCATAAAGTTTAAATATCTACTATAGATGAAAGCAGAGATTTTTACATTCTATTTCTTTAACCTGTTGAGTCCTACACTGAAATGTCTGAACGCAACAGAAGGTAACAGAGCTGTTGTAATTTAACACCAGCTGTCAACTAAGTACTGCACAGTTGCTCACTCACTCTCTCCATACCACCCCCAGAACCCCGTGGGATGAGGAGAATTGTAAAGGGTAAAACTTGAGGGTTGAGATAAGAAAACATTATTAATTTAAATAAAGTAAAATATAATAATAATAATAGTAGTAGTAGTAGTATTGAAAAGGAGAGACAGAGAGAGAGAGAGCACAGTGATTGGCCATATAAGGCCAACTCTTCCCAGTTTGTATACTGAGCATAACATTCTGTGGTATGGAATATCCCTTTGGCCTGTTTGAGTCAGCTATCCTGGCCATGCTCCCTTCCTGCTTCTTGTGCACCTCCTTACTGGCAGAGCATGAGACACTTAAAAGTCCATGACTTAGGGTAAGCAATGTTCAGCAACAACCAAAACAACAGTGAGTTATCAACATTATTCTCATAACACCAAAAGTCACACTGTACCAACTAGTAAGAAGAAAATGAACTCTGTCCCAGCTGAAAGCAGGACAAGAGCTCATATTTTGAAATGTCATAAAAATACTAGTCCAACAAAAAAACTTTTTTCTTTCTTTCTTCTCTTTAGAAAATAATGAAACGTCTCATTAAAAGATATGTATTGAAAGCTCAGATAGATAAGGAAAGTGATGAAGTTAATGAAGGTGAGTACGTTGATGAATTGTATGTTTAATCAGAGAATCAAGACAAACTAAAGTGGTTACATATGCCACTTGAAAAAAAATGTTTCCAAAATACTTAATTCACTTGACATGTTTACAAGTGCTAGATATAAAACTACCATGAAATTGAAGTTAAAGAAGAGATGGGATTCCTATCTCTTGTCTCCCATCAGAAAACATCAGTGATCTGACAAGTTGTCAAGTGTTGCTACTTCTAGTAATAATAGAAACATAGGATCATTTGGATTGGAAGGGACCTTAAGGATCATCTAGTTCCTTAAGGATCATCTACTTCCAACCCCCTCGCCATGGGCAGGGACACCTTCCAGTAGACCAGGTCGCTTAAAAACCCGTCCAACCTGACCTTGATCACTTACAGGGATGGGACATCTGCAACTTCTCTGGGCAACCTGTTCCAGTGCCTCACCACCCTCACAGGAAAGAATTCCTTCATAATATCCAATCTAAACCTACCCTCTTTCAGTTTGAAACCATTCCCTCTCATGCTGTCATTGCATGCCCTTGTAAAACATCCCTCTCCAGCTTTCTTGTAGACTCCCTTTGGACTTGGGAAGGCTGTTGTGATGCTCAAGGCATTTCCCATAGTGAGACTACATTTAATGCAACAGTTCATTTGAGGCATTCCCATATGAATTTTCATTTGTGTTGGTATGTGTTTTTATTGTGAATTCATATATGTGGATGCATATGCTTCAGCTTTTTTTGTGTGTGATTTATTAGCTGGAAACATCTAGTAAATGCACTTCACAGGGATGTTCTTGTCTGTTTGCACCCCTCTGATGCTAGAAAGATACTTAGTGCAGTAGGAAAAGGAGACGGCTGCTCTCTTTTGGACAATGAGAAGCTTTGTTGCTGGCCAAGACTACTCAGGCAACACCAATCTGCATGATCTGCAGAAAAGGCCCGGGGGGTGTTGGTCAACAGGGGCTGAACATGAGCCAGCAGTGTGCCCAGGTGGCCAAGAAGGCCAACGGCATCCTGGCCTGTACCAGCAATAGTGTGGCCAGCAGGACCAGGGCAGTGATTGTCCCCCTGTACTCAACACTGGTGAGGCCGCACCTTGAATCCTGTGTTCAGTTTTGGGCCTCCCACTACAAGAAAGATATTGAGGTGCTGGAACATGGAACATGTCCAAAAAATGGCAATGGAGCTGGTGAAGGTTGTGGAGCACAATTCTAATGGGGAGCGGCTGAGGGAACTGAGGATTTTAATCTGGAGAAAAGGAGGTTCAAAGGTAGACCTTATCACCCACTATAACTACCTGAAAGGAGGACGTAGCGAGGTGGTGGTTGGACTCTTTTCCAAAGTAAGAAGTTATAGGACAAGAGCAAATAGTGTCAGGGAGAGATTTAGATTGGACATTAGGAAAAATGTCTTTACAGAAAGGGTTGTGAAGTATTCAAACAGGCTGCCCAGGAAAGTGGTTGAGTCACCATCCCTGGAATTATTTGAAAGACATGTAGACATGGTGATTAGGGGCAAGGTTTAGGGGTGGACTTGGCAGTGCTTGGCTAATGATTGGACTCGGTGATCTTAGAGGTCTTTTCCAACCTACATGATTCTGTGATCCTGTGATTCAGTGATGTCTCTTGCAGCAGAACAGCAGCTTCCATATAAGAGATCATATGAGTTTTGTGAACTGATGTGGCCTCTCACACTTTTGCCTTCAGATTTGTTTGATTCCTGAACTGCATCTTCATATTCCTGTCTGTAAGCCACCATTCACCAACAGGCAACAGAGCATCTGCTTTTTCTGTTTCAACAAAGAAATACAGAGAAAACCTGTGATAATTGTGAGATATTTGGATATGATGTTTTTTTCTTTTGTTTCTTAATGGTATGATCTTCTAACATCTGTTACAGGTGAACTGAAGGAAATTAAACAGGACATCTCAAGTCTCCGGTATGAACTCCTTGAGGAAAAATCTCAAAATTCTGAAGATCTGGCAGAACTTATAAGGAAACTTGGGGAAAAACTGTCAATTGACTCTAAGGAAGAAGAAAGCAAGAGATAACCAAGATGTTTAAGAGAAGCAACAGAATGTTAACAATTCACTTAAAGCCATATTTCTGTTTTTCTCAAGTCTAGCTCACATTTATACAGAAGATTCAGAAATTAAATCATTCCAATTCTTCATTGAAAAAACACAGTGACAAATCCTGTGGGTCTACAATAGGGAGGGGATGCCACTTCTGTAAAGATATTTATTCTTTACTTGCTGAAAAAGAGTTAAGTTGAGATAATTTAAATACTCAATTTACCTCTTTTAGAATTCCAGTGGAATCTTGATATCTTGATAAGGCCAGTCATGACAGATTAAAAGCATAGATCTAAAATTTTCCTACATTACTGTTTCTGTTTATTTTTTGCAAATTTCCTTTTGTAAAGATTCTTAGATATATTTTAGTGAAGTAAAAGAGAAAAATTCCACACTTTTACATATATATATATATATAAAGCTATTTAATTTTTCCAGCATTCCCGGGGGGGGGGAGAGGTTGGGTTCTTAAAAATAATTTAGGAATGTTTAGGAATGTTTCCATGTAGAGGTAAATTATCAAGATACGCATAGCACTGTATTATACTTCTCCCAACTTACCCCTGTTGCTGCTGGACTGGACTATTCTGAAAGATCCCTAGGTTCCAATGGGAGTCAGTGCATTTATAAATAAGTATTTTTCATCAAGTTTATTGAAAAGCTATTACTGAGACCAGAAGAAAAATTTTTTTAATCCATAATATTTAATCATTGATGTTCTAATCTCTTTCAGAATTCCCAGGTTCTTCAGCTTTTATGTCTTGAGCTGAACCTCCCAAACTACAGGGTGGGGGGTTGAATGTAACAATTTTATTTAAGGTAGAAGATACTAAAATGTTAGGTGAAACCCCTCTCTGAATTCTGGCGGTAGCATGCATTTTTATTACAGAGATAAAATGTACACTGTGAATTTGTTTAAGCCCAAAATTTGGCTTACCTTAAAACAATCAGATCGTAATGTATATATTGTATTTCATTAAGAAAATACATATGGATTTTTTATTTCAATGAAGATATTTTATATATAGTTATTACTCATGGAACAATTTGTTAAATATATTTGAAGAGGTCTATTACCAAATGTAGTGTGACAAGCAATGTAGTATTCAAAATGAGCACAATACCAAATATATTATTCTGTTTAAAAAAAAATTAAATGTATCAGACTCAAAATATCTTTGTGATGCATTGTATGAATATGTTGGTATTTCACTGGGAACCATTGGCTGCTCTTGCTTGGAAGACTAATGTGACAAAATACTTTCATTTGCAGCAACAATAATACAAAAAAAAGTTTCAAAGAAGGTACAAGGGTCTTTTCATACTTGATTAGATTCAAGGCCAAGTATTTTGTCTGCTGTGACTAACTGTGACTCATGCCAGATGTTTCAGAACATCTGCAGGAGGTAACAGATAATTTTCATCTTATATAGTTCTTTTGGTTTCTAATAAAAAAGATTGATATAACTTTGATGAGGAAGTATTTCCAGATTTATTCATGAATTATTAAGATAACAAGACAGTCTTGCTACCTACTTATTGTTTCTTGAAATTTTTTGAGCTCAGCAATTCAGTTTCTGTAGCGGCAGCTTCCACATCTAAACCAGACCTGCTATGAAGAAGTATTGCCTTTATATATTTTTTCCCCTGAGTATTTCTTAAGCTTGAATTATGAGATACAGTGAGTAGAATCTGTTATCTCTTAGACATTCTCCTTTCTGTTCCTCCAAATGTATTTCACTAAAAGATATAAAAGGGCTTAAGAAATTCTGAAGAGAACACAGTAAGAAAATCCACAAATAAGCAAATCTTTGTTCAATATTTTCTCACACTTTTCTGGATGAAACAGTGTCATGTCTAAATATTGGGAAAAGGCTTTATACATTCTGGAGGACCATGAATTTTATTAGAGAGCAATACTGCAATGCAAGCTTAAGGTACTCAAGATTTAAGGTGAGATCATGAATAAGAGCTGCAGGATTTCACATGAAAATTCAGATATGACAGGTAAAAATCTGCCGTATTTCACCCTATCTTAGAGCACTTACAGGCCAAGCCAATGAATCCTACTGGTTTTAGAAGTGGGATCTACAGGTTCATCTGATTTTAGATACCAGCCATGAAGACTTCTGCCTCTGAACTTGTCTAGAATTTCTTTGTGTTCAGTGGATAGAAGTGGTCAAAGGCATGATTTTGTGTCATCTTAAGGTAGACAAGTATCCCAGGTGAGTCACATTGTAGAAGTGACTCATTTTTCTCCTGTTACTCTGAAGAAGCCACTGTGACTGTTTATATTGTAGCAATGTTTATATTGAAGTGTGAGAAGTCCCAGCTTGACAGAAATGAGCACTGCAGCACACTGCAGGGCCGTGAACAAATGCTCATCTGCTTGTAAGTGCTTGAACTGATGAAGACACTCATTGAGAGGGGCAGGATCTAACTTGCCTTCAGAAGAATGTAGCTCATTCCCCAGAGATGGTGGGTGAGTAGGGTCTTCTTTATTCTGCAGGAATATTTTATTTTTTCCTTCATTAGTGTTACTGTGTATGCATAAATGAAAATACCCATTAACCAAATCTGTCGCAAAAGTGAGAGTACTCTGTTAACAGTACACATGGCAACTAAATTCTTGTTGATAAACTAGGAATTTTATGACAGAAGTTTGTATTCATGTTTTAGTACATTGGGGTGAGCATATATTTTCAATAACATGTCTTCAAGATTTACGATATACAGCTTGTTCTTGGCAGTACTTCAGCTATAGCAGCTGTATCAAGTAATTTACTAAGAACATGTTCTCATGACTGCCTTGTCCCAAAATGCAATTTAGTCCAACAAAATCTTGCATTTGCTTCTTAGAGATTTCTCTCAAGCTTGAAATTAGTAGCTGAACATTGCAATTAATATGCTGTAAACCACATAATGTGGAACTGTACTCACTTGCAGAACAGTAGAACTTGTCCTTATAGTGCAAATTGCTAATTTTTCATGTGAATATTTAATGCTTTGTGAAATCTGTTACAAAATACCTAGTGTGAATAATATTTCTAAGACTTATGTTCTTAGTTAAATTTTAATTTGGCCTGTGGAAAATAGAACTCACAAAGTTTGTGTTTGGAAAGCTACTTGTACTTCAGGAGCTTATACTGAAAGAGAAGTTAAGCAAGGCTGAGAAGTACATTAAACTCCATGCACTTAGAAGTCCAGGGAATCCCATGCACTGTTCTTCCCTGGTCTATATTACTTTGAGTACCTCAAAACATTTCTTTTTTTTCTCTTTTTTTTCATTGTTGCAAAAACCAAGTCTCCTGTTTCTCTTTTTGTTCTTGTCACCATCTGTAATATGACAGTGCAGTAGGGATCACAAAGTACAAACTTTTAGTGGTTTCTCTGTCCAAGCAACTGCATTTTAGTAGGATTTGGTTTTAAGTTTTTCAGTATTCTGTGACTCAGCTCCTTCACACTTATTCTTTACTCAATTGATGGACCTCCAATCAAAGCATTTTAAGAAGATCAAATCATATTGTATGCAAAGTGCATTAGATAAATAATTATCAAAATTAATAGCAATATTTTTATGCATTTTTATACATGAACACTTTTATACCACTTCGATATTTCATTGTGCTCTATAAACAACGAGTATACTCTAATAGGTTTGCACAGTCTGTCAAAAAGGACATAAATAAAATGACAACTGGTCCAAAACTTACTCACTCTCAAATACAAATAAATTTAATTTCCCATGACCTTTGTCAAACCAGATCAACTCTTTGTTTCTCAGTTTCTTCCTTTATGCTAGGGGAGAATGATACTAACTTGTGTCAACATGCTCAAATAAGTAGTTTGAGGAATTTATGAAAGAGAAAACTTCAGTTCTTTCTTAAAGGGAGTACTTCCTTGTTTCCACAGAAGATTTTGTGCAACTTTACCAAAACTCTGATGGTTTAATCAACTTCAGTAGAAAAAAACCCACAGGATTTCATGAGTTTAATGTCTTCACAGAAAAAGGCACTACTATGGGATTGTTCCTTAGAACTGCAGTTCTAAAAGTTCCAGTTAAGACAATCTGTCCTGTCAGTAGCCAAATTATTTAGTCTCCATCTTCTCATGGTAAACTGAGGCTCTGCAGCTGGGTTATAACCTACTCACTTTTGAATGGAGAAATATCACTGACAAAGTAAGTTGTTTAAAAAACATGAACATGAGCAAGTCTTTCTGGTGAACAGAAAATAAGGTACAATATCAGGTTGCTATCAAATCATGTTGGTAGTAAAAGATTCAAGACTACTTTATGTGGCTTGTGCTAGAGCACATATGGTCTCTCCTAACATATGATTCTTCTTTTCAAAAGAAAATATTTCTCCTAGAAGTGACCTTGGCTTGAATTTGTCAGCATCATTTAAGAATTCTGTGAGTTTCTTCCCTCTGAAGTGGACCTTCGTCTATATTTGCACTTTATTTGAGTAAACGAAACTGCCTGATACAGCAGTATTAGTGGCTACATTCCTTCTACAGAGGCTTCTCTCTGACCCTACAGGAGGCCACTGATCATAGTACTATCAAGAGTGTTAAAGACAAACCCTGGCTGGACCAAGAAATATTTCTCAGTATCAGACTGGGAAGAAATAAAAAGAAAATCATTCCCAAAGAGCCTATGGTTCTTTTAATGTTGCAAGTCAGCCTGTATCCGACTGTCTGGAAATTTTGTCTCTTCTGGTTTAGATATCCACAGCACACATAACACAGCAAGCTATCTAGGCTCCCATTCTAGTCTCTGAAAACATACAGAAAATTCTAGGGCACAATTTTAGATATCTGTAACATATCAGCAAATCTTGCTTGCAAAATACTTCTTTCCCTCCACTGCTCACATAAGTCCCACCCACTGCCACAGACTCCTAGTTGTGAATGTTTGTGTGAACACAAGAGTGCAGGTCACCAGCACCTTCTGCTTCAGGGCTTTTGCTCAACACAGGTTTTTATTGCCTGAATGTTGTTTCAGAAGTAAATATTTACTCTGAGTGGAAGTGCAGCCTTGACCCAATCTATTGTAGTTCAAAATCTAAAGCAAATGGGAAATCCCTTGCTGAGTGACCAACAAGGTTCGCATGAAGTATTGAGCCAACAAGAACTGCTGGCAGTTGCGTGTAAAAATATGATGAGTGCTTTTTGCAGATGTTCGCAGCTTCAAATGGTGTACTTTAATAAGACTCACATTTTAGATAATTTGTGTGTTACAAATTAATCCCCATTACACTTGTCTTTAGACTATAATTTCCAGCAGTTTCAGTTGATCTAGTAGCTGATCACTCAACCTCAAATTATTCAATTGTTGCATTAGGCAAGCACCAAGATGTTTTTATTTCATGCAGGTAAATTTTCTC